TTTTAGAGTAGCACCAGTGTTTTTTGCACCACTCTGAGTTTTTAGTCGATCCCTGGTTGAGTGTATATGTAATGGCTGCTATGATGAGTTCTCACGTGACGTTCTCACACACCAAGTTGGCATACTTGCTGAGTGTGGCCAAATCGACCGTGACAAACGTTTTAAAGGTGTTCGGAGAGCGTCTGTCGACCGCCAGGAAGCATCAATCAAGAGATCTACGTTCAGGAGTGCCTGGAAAAGCAGCTGCTACCATTCCTAAAGCAACATAATAGACCTGTGCAGTTCTGGCCGGACTTGGCGAACTGCAACTATGGGAAAAAGGCAATCGAGTGGTACGATGCGAACAACGTGGTTGTGGTACCCGAAGATCACAACCCTCCAAACAGCCCAGAACTCCGCCCCATCGAACGGTATTGGGCCTTGGTCAAACGGAATCTAAAAAAAAAAACTAATAAATCCGTGGAAAACGAGCAGCAGTTTAAATCTAATCGGCGGCTAATAAGCTCGATGAGACCACTGTGCAAAATTTAATGGAAGTGGTTAAGCGGAAGGCGTGGCAGTTCAGAGTTGGCAAACCAAAAGAATAAAGGGTGATACGGTCAAAATTTGGTCAAGGGAAAACGCGTGTAAATCGGTGAAATCGTTTATTTAAAAAATCAAATTAAATTTCTTTTTCAAGTTCAATTAGTATAAAATTCAGGAAAAATATTCAGTTAGGCTTCCGCTTTTCCAAATCCGAATTGCCGGGCCTTACGCTTGACCCCTGCCATCAGATTTTGTACAGCCACCTTGTCCACCTTCTTCGCCGCAGAAAGCCAGTTTGCCTTGAACTGCTGCTCGCCCTTAGCAGTTTTTTTGGTCTTCTTTAGGTTCCGCTTGACAATAGCCCAGTATTTCTCAATTGGGTGGAGCTCTGGCGTGTTGCGAGGGTTCTTGTCCTTGAGAACCACCTGCACGTTGTTGGCGGCGTACCACTCCATGGCCTTTTTACCGTAATGGCAAGATGCCAAATCCAGCCAAAACAGTACGGAACAACCGTGTTTCTTCAGAAAAGGCAGCAGACGTTTATTCAAACACTCTTTCACGTAAATTTCTTGGTTGACAGTCCCGGAAGCTATGAAAATGCTGCTTTTCAAGCCACAGGTACAGATGGCTTGCCAAACCAGATATTTCTTTGCGAACTTTGACAGTTTCATGTGCTTGAAAACATCTGCTACCTTTCCCCTTCCTTTTGCCGTATAAAACTCCTGTCCCGGAAGCTGCTTGTAGTCGGCTTTGACGTAGGTTTCGTCGTCCATTACCACGCAGTCAAACTTCGTCAGCATCGTCGTGTACAGCCTCCGGGATCGCGCTTTGGCCGTCGTATTTTGTTTATCATCGCGATTTGGAGTCACTACCTTCTTGTAAGTCGATAGTCCGGCTCGTTTTTTGGCTCGATGCACGGTTGTAGACGATACACCCAGCTTATTTGCGGCATCTCGGAGAGAGAGGTTAGGGTTTCGCTTGAAACTACCGGCAACTCTCTTTGTCGTCTCAGCGGCTTCCGGTTTTCGATTTCCCCCCTATCCAGACTTCCTGGCTGTCGACAAACGTTCCCCAAACACTTTAATTACATTTGTAACGGTTGATTTGGCAACTTTTAGCGATTTTGCCAACTTTGCGTGCGAGAAGCTCGGATTTTCGCGATGCGCGAGCAAAATTTTGATACGCTGCTCTTCTTGCTTGGACGGCATTTTGACAACTGAAGAGTGAATTCCAAAATCAAAATAGGAGCAACATTCTACACACACACACCTTCAAAATGAGGGGTGTTCAGGTTTTTTAAATGCAAAATTGAAAGAAATACATCAAGTTGATATTGACCAAATTTTGACCGTATCACCCTTTAAACGAACATTTTTTCCTTTAAATATATGAATTGAACTACCAAAACAAAATAAGAAGATTTTTGTAATATGAATATTGACTGAAAGAAACGACCAATTGACGACCAATTTTTGTGCGTTCCAGTCTTTACATCGACCTTTCGGTTTTGCTGAGGATCAATTTTTTTCTAGATGAAACAAGGGGTAGGTCACTCCGTACACCAATCTTGGGTCATCTTTTTGTCAGCGTGCTGCAAGTTTATTTATTTATTTCGTCAACCAACGTATGTAGACTAGTACATATTCGAATACAGATTTGTTTTCTTAAATTTATTTTCTTTAAATTTCTGACATATTGAATGTTTAGGTTTGAAATCTCAAGGATTAATCGGAATGAGGATGACGCTGGAAGTAGCGGGTGAGCCAAATATTGAAAGTCCTGTGTTTTAGGGTTTTATAATACCCTCAAAGGCAGACCAAAAACCTAGCCTTTCGTGATGTGAAAAGCAACGGTCTATCAGCGGCCGGGAAGAGTTGGACCGGTGGGGAATATTGTTCGAGACCGACAATAGAGGATGATGAATATGACTTCTGTAGTTTGCTTTGTGTGAGTTGCAGCATTATGTAAATTAAGGGCACTAATGGGGTCTGCTTAACTGCCTCTTTCTCTTGAGCCCACTCTAGAACCTACATTTCGTATTTAGATCTATAAGTGAACTGCTGATCTGAGTTCCTCTGGTATATTCAATAGAGGATATTCTTGAATATACAGTCAAACAGCACGTAATGTTGTGAACAACTGCAATGACAGTTGTCCAGCAGTGCTACCATTTTATTAACAACAATCCAAAACCTACGAGATTGTGCCAAAGGTGTGCCGATGGATGTACCCAAGCTGTGCCGAAACTAATTTCGGCACAATGTGCTAAGTGACTTACCCCTTGAGATGAGATTAAAAAAAATTACATTGGATTTTTCGCAGGAATCTAAGGAAAAACTGATTTCCTTGGATTTTTTTTTAAATTTTTCCTAATATTTTTAGAAAATTTGCTAATGCAAATGAATCTCTATGCATCTCCTTGGACATGCAACGCTGCTATGGTGGTCCAGGACGGGAATTTAGAAAGACAAATGCACAAATGCGCGATCGATCACAAATGCACAAAACTCCCGTTCATTATGCAAAAAGGCAGGAGTAAAAATAATTAGTTGAACTATTTGAGATTTTGCCAAGACGGTCCTCCACCATTACATGTTGGACGATGGAATGATTGGTGTAGCAGCCCCCATGGATGTATTCGAGCAGTTCGAATGGTACAGTTTTTGTTTGGTTGTTGACTTTCCGATTAAAACTCAAGCACCGCTTGTCGTGACCGGCCCAAGATTTCCAGCGTCGGCCACGGCTACACGAATTACCTATGCAACTCCCACGGCTGCTGCTGCTTCCAATGCTGCTGCTGCTTTAGTTGCTGCTGCTGCTGTTCCTTCTGCTGGTCCGTTTCCTCTAAAATTCGTAAAAAAAAAGACGGACCAGCAGCAGCATTCGAAGCAGCCGCAGCCGTGGGAGCTGCATCGCTAGTTCGTGTAGCCAATGCCCGGAAACCTCGGTCAGTTCAAGATACGCTGTTAGCTGTTCTTCGTCTGGAGGAAATGTGGATGCGACTGCCGTCGCGGGTGTAACGATTTTGAGAATCCATGGCGAGACTTGGTGGAGATTCACGGTTGTTTTGAAAATAATTTGACTAGGAGTGGCAACATCAATAACATTTTGACACATGCACACTGCGCAGGCACAGAAAAATTTCAGTGTTGCCAGTAACTTAAAGATCATAAAAATTGTAACCATGGGTGCCAAACAACGCCAATGACTGCACCCGGGTGTGCCCAAGTTTGATTTTGGCACACTATGTAGAGTGACCAACCCCTTGGTTAAAATTAAAACTATCATTTTTCAAAATGTCACTATTGAGAATTGCACGAATGTGCAACTGTTGCTATGATAATTAAAATTATCACAGATTGTTTGCGAAAAGCGATTTCTCTAACACGAATTTCAAAGTTGAATTCTATCCGGTGTTTATTAAATCACCGCGTGGTGAGTGGTGGTGTTCTCCAGTACACAACGATAGACTACCTGCAAGCAGCGAGCTGCAGCCCCCATGACCATTCATAGAAGGAGGCAGAAGCCACAGCGTTATTGATGGTATAGACGAGTGCACGGATGGATTTGAATTTACTGACTCGATAAAAAGCGACACAACAGCGGGCCCTGTTTACTAAAAATGAACACATATGTGTTCATTTTTAGTAAACAAGGCCCCGCTGTTGTGTCACTTTTTGTCGAGTGAGTGAACTCAAATCCATCCGTGCACTCGTCTATTGAGCATCCAAAGAGAAAGAAGAAGCCGCACCGCTATTGATCGGAATCAGTAGCTCGTCGTGAGTAGCTGTGGGCCATTTCAAGCGCGTCATACTTTAGAGTATAAATAGAGAGAAATCCACTCGGATTCCTACACAAAACACCAGCTCCTGCTGTAGTTAACAAATAAGATTTATTATTTAAGACCACGTAGTCCTACGTCACCATTGCGTAAAACCCCATAGGAATGTCCCTTGTAGTTTTTAAAGGAAAATAAGGAACATATACCGAGATTGCATCCCGTTGCCGTATTTATTTTTGTTGTCATAAAATATTGATAATTCATCCCAACCATTTGTTTACGTGTCGGTTTTGGCGTGGTCTACCCAATCGGTCTAGGTAGATTTTACATGTGCGCTAGTGACCGTGCTCATCATGACCTAAGAGGAAGAGGAGACAACTGGCTTCTTTTTGCCTGTGACCAATCAGGTGTTGGTTCGCGTTTGACTGAAAATTAGTTCATAAAAGTCCCCCTGTTGTCTCCTCTTGCTCTTAGATCATGACAACCTCCCCTCCTTGATAATGTAATAAATAGCATTAAAAATCATACCCACATCGTCACGATTCCAAGATCATATCAACCCATGCCATCTTTTCTGCGTTTCATTTACTTGATCCCTCAATAAAGCTAATGCAAACCTTATCGTCCATTGACATGCGATGTTAAAATAGAAAAGCAGATATTTCCCACGTCCTGAATCAGTCACCACGAAGCCATGTCCAGCTCCAACCATGGATTTCTCCGTAAATTGTGGAGCGAGTACTGCCAAGGCAGCACCATCTATGCGACGCGTCATCTGTCCTCGCAGCTCCGGATCGGAGAGCGCGTCTGGTGGTTCTCATGGATTGGGCTAGCATTAGTCGCTTGTTTCGTGGCCATCGTTGACGTGTACGACAAATGGAATGTAAGTCCAGTCTTCATCAGCTACGATAACAGATTGCATCCGGTTTGGGCTATTCCATTTCCTGCCATTACGATATGTCCGATGGCTCGGGCACAGGTGGAATTGTTCAACTCAACGGATGTTTATTTTCGTATCGATCAGCCTGCTGGGATAAGTAACCTAGAGTGGGTGTTTTCTTTTGGCGTACATTCAACGGTGTCGTTGCTTAATATAACCTTGTCGATTGCAGATATTACAGACTTCGCGCAATGTTACATGTTTGTCCTTACATGTCGGACTTTTACGAATACAACGATTCACTGAAGATGAACTACGTTCAGACTCTCAAGTTTATGTCCATTCCGTTCGAAGAAATGTTTCGCGGTTGTCGGTACAGAAACAACCGTGTGGATTGTGCGACATATTTTTCTGAATCCATCACTGACAGCGGAGTTTGCTACACGTTTAACGCCATAGATGCCGAGCAACTATTCAGGACGGAGAATCTTCAGCAGGACTACTTGTATTCTACTTCATATATGGATTCGTATAATTGGACACTTGAGGATGGGTATTTGGATGAGTTTGATCCTAAAGCGTTCCCGCTGCGTCCCATAGGAGGAGGTTTGCTTGCCGGATTGATGGTGGTATTAAATACCAGAAAAGCAGACCAAGATTTCTTCTGTGAGGTATACTATGGTCACAGTCACAACTCACAACTGTTCGAAAATAACAGTGTTTTTTTTTTGTTACATTGCTTATTCAGGGCCCAGTTACTGGTTACAAAATAGGCATACATTCACCGGATGAAATGCCTTCGGTGCAAAACAAATTCTACCGTTTATCGCATCAGAATGTACTCACATTGGTATTGAAGCCTGAATTGACTTACATTTCACAGAAAGTTAAAAAATATCCCTACTATAGGTGAGTAGGTTAAAATTACTCATACACCCGGTAACTGTCGTTCCCTGTATCTCCCTTTCAGACGACAATGTTATTTCAGTGGCGAACGATACCTACGGTACTTCAAAGTGTACAATCAGAATAATTGCCTTGCGGAATGCATTTCCAACATTACCGCTCAGGAGTGCGGTTGCGTTGGTTTTGCATCACCGCGGAGTGAGGACGTGCCTGTCTGCGATGGCCTGGATTTGTTCTGTCCGGTAAGATCATTATACAAGGCATACAAAAAGCTAGAAACAACGGACCGCGAAAACGAAGTGCAGCATCCATGTGGTTGTCTGCCGGCGTGCACTGCGATCAAATATGACGTGGAGATTTCCAATCTTCCGTGGGACTTTGAGGCGTATGCCAGAGTTCTTGGGTACCCAACCAACGAGTACGATAGGTATGCTATGTCTGTTTTAGTGCTAAAGTTTCTTGATCAACACTAAAGGTGATTCTATTCCAGTATGGATCCAGCATTGTTGTTGATAGCTTTCAAGAGTAAATGGTTTCTCCCGCTTAAGCGTCGGGAGCTAATTGGAGTGGTGGATCTACTGGCAAAGTGCGGTGGATTGTTTGGACTGCTAATGGGCGCCAGTGTGATCAGTTTTCTCGAAGTGGTGTACTACTGCATCATAAGACCATGCAGGAATGACTATCCCGGGCGTGACGCTCTTCGGCAGGTTTTCCCGTGGGTGCCATAATTAGGTGTTTCAAGCTGCTTCAGACAGCACTCACCACCAGAAGGCTGGTGGAAAATCCACTTGAGAATGTTTGACGAGATTAACTTTTAATAAATGGTCGGTATATTATTTCAAAATAATGCCACTATTATTAAAGAGAACAATCATCCAACTGAATAGCACCCAGGAGGGCCCACACTATTGAAAGCTGAAAGAATTTTATAGTGAATTTGTTTTTGATTCAGTTCTAACCTGGATCGGGTATCAAGATTGGGTCTTCTTGTTGTCTGTCAAACGTCACTGGGAATGTTTATTTGTGTAACCTGGCTCGGTTTGGGGTACATACTGACAATACACTCGGGTTCGAACATGTTGGAACTGGCTCCAACCTGCTCATCGTTATTAGTTTGAAACTGTTATAAGAGCATTTGCAGTTCATAATATGTTTTATACAATGTCTGCCAAACCATTTAAAAACTGTTTTAAAACTAGCTTTTCATATGAACAAGCCAACAAAAAGGTTGTATTATTGAATTTAACAAAACTAAAGAGATTTTTTTTTCCTTTGGTTTGTTTTTTCCATCGATCTTGTTTTCCGTGCTGAGCACCAATGCTACCGACGTGCCAGGAAGGCAGCTCCCACACCTGGACCCTACCTATCGACCCATCAACTCATGAACCGGGGACCAACGGCTTTACTTCCTATCCGAAGGAAGGCGTGATCAGAGATGTTATGCCTCAGAACATCCCGGCAGCGCCGACTGGGATTTAACCCAGGCCTGCTGGGGTGAGAGGTAATCACGCTTACCACTAAACTAAAGAGATACTGTTTTTCTTATTTATAATTTGACAATTTGTTTGCAGCTGATTCCATTCGAGATAAATAGCTTCCTCCATTAGTAATAAAAAATGTGTTAGTGTTAAATACGCCAATATTTAAATAACAATTACCAATTTGGGTAAATCTGTAACTCTATTTTTTTTTTATATTTAAAAAAAATATTTTTGATTTTACCAACCATTAATTATTGCGCTCAATATATGCTTGAATACAAGTCTAGAGGTGCATCTCTTTCCATATTAAGGACTTATATATTATTTGACATACTAACCATGCAATTAAATTTCATCAAAAAATATCGATTCAACATGACTGTAGAAGCTACGATTGCATGTTTCGTGTAATCGTTACAAAAGCTTTTTACACTTCTTTGATCTTTCAATAGAACCGTTTGCTTCTGGTTGCAAACAGCGTTACCCCTGTATTAAATACAGTCACTTCTCTTTAACTCAATATCGAAGAGACTGTAATAAATATCTGTTCCTATTTATCCATATGAATTCGAGAAATAGTTCAAGAATCCAGTAACAGAAGTTCTGAGTAGTTAATTCCAAATATTGAGCCAACATGAACAAAAACACGCCCATAGGACTGTCAATTCTTGAAATTTAATTTGGTTTTGGCCATTTGCCCAAATGTCGCCCAAAAATGCTAGATGCTTCTAAACTTTTTTTTAATCACTTCATTGGGAATATGTGGCACTATCGCTCTAAGTCAGGGATGCCGGATTTGAAGACATTTTAAATCTCGTGAAGACTTTTGAAGACATATGAAATCAGTTTTAAATCTCAGGTCTCAAAAATTCTCAGTGCCCCAGAGTTTCGAAAAATTCTATGAATTCAGTACAATCCAAATTTTAAAAATACATTAACCTTAAAGTGCTACGAAGTCTTAGGCATTTTATTTATTTTAAATTAAAAATGTTAAAAAGTATAGCATTTTGAATGTTTCAATTATTCATCCATCTTCGAAGTATGCATAAAGGATCTCAAATTTTTTTTATGTTAAGTCTTATCTGAAGTCTCAGAATCTTAATGTTTGCCCAAATCAGTTTTATCTTGAATCCTTTACAGGATTTCTTTGGCATTTGTTCTAGAATTTCTTTAAACTAATCGAAGAAACCCATCGTGGGACTTGGACTCTCTATGGTAATACACACATACTTTTATTCAAAAATCTTAAAATTAGCTCCGCAATTCACTTAGTAGGTATTTCTAATATTTGCAGCTTAATAATAATTAATAACATTTCTTAATATAATTTATATATCTTATAATATTTCTCCTCAGTACTCTTCTGATTATTTTGGAATTTTCCTCTACATTTTCTTAGTATTACTACAAAACTTTGATGGAATTAATTTCTTAAATTACTTTTGAACCCAGCTCAGGAAGTCCTCAAACATGCTTCAGAATTCTCATGGAATTTCAATTTAAGTTTCCATGACATTTTCACAGGAAATGCATTGAAATACTCCATGGAATTCCTTCTACGAAAGTGACCCCGTTGGCTTCGTATCACTCTAGGACAACATTTGAATAGTGGCACGAAGCTAGATCCAGCCAGAAGATCTCCCCGTTTACAGTCCCGGTAGTCACGAAACGGCGCACTCCGTTTGCCACATTAGCAGATCGCTTGCCAAATCATGTATTTCTTGACAAACTTTGAAAGTTTCTGCTTCCTTACTTCCTCCCGAACATCAAACTTGTGCTGGGCGGTGAAGAACAGTAGCCCCGGAAGCTGCCGGAAGTGCGCCTTGACGTAAGTCTAATCATTCATGATGAGACAATGAGGCTTCGCCAGCATCTGGGTGTACAGTTTCCGGACCCGTGACTTTCCCATCGTATTTTGCCGTTCGTCACTATTTGGAGCCTTTTGCACTTGGTACGTATGCAGTCCCTTCCGGTCCTTGGCTCTCTGAACGAAAAACGTGGCCAGATTAAACTTTTTGGCCACATCCCTGACCGAAGCATTGGGATTCCGCTTTAACGCTTTCACGACACGCTTGTGATCCTGATCACTAATAGAACATCCATTCTGACCGCATTTCTCCTTCCCTTCAATGCTCAAGGCCGGCGCACAATAGATACGTTTTCGGGGCTAACTGTCCAAAAACCTGAAAACGTATCTATTGTGCGCTGGCCTTGAGCATTGAAGAGTTTCGTAGTAACGTTTAATCACACGACTCACCGTTGACTGCACGATTCCGAGTTGTTTTCCGATGTCCCGATGAGAGAGTTGAGGATTTTCCAGGTGCTTGCGCAAAATCAATTCGCGACGTGGCTTTTAGGGTGACGCCATTTTTTCCAACTTTCGAAATACTGACAGCGATAAAAATACACTCTAAACTACTTCTACCCTAATTTCCAATGGGTAATTTTCTACACCGTTTTGACGTAGAACTACGTCTTTGTTGACTATACTGGGGTGCAAATCAAAAAACATGTATGGTGAAGTAGTGTTAGGTTTTGAACGCTTATAACTTTGTCATTTATAGATGAAATTGAAACCCAAATACTCCAATCGAGAGGATATTACTTTACAAACTGCTGAAATAAATACTTTACCAATTTTTAATCAAAAAACTTTTGAAAAATGCGCAAATGATAATTTTATCACTGTTTTCATGAACTAAACAATTTCCCCAAACCCAGACATCATAAACGAATACCACTTGGTTGCACATCATTCTGCTTGAACCTGATAAAACAGCGCTGCCTTCCTGACTCTGCTCATTTGAAGTTCTTTTGAAATTTCAATTATTATTAATTACAGTTCCTAGTCCTATCAGGCCTGTTTTAAGAATGACCACCTTGGTGGGATTGGATTAAAACAAACCAATCCCACCAAGGTGGTCATTCTTAAAACAGGCCTGATAGGACTAGGAACTGTAATTAATAATAATTGAAATTTCAAAAGAACTAAAGAAGAAAAGACGCATCTGTGTCACTTGATAAGTAATGTAAACCACACAAATACAAGAAATAAAGATCATTTAAAGTCAAAGTCAAGTGACTCTGCTCATTGCCGCTTCTGATGGCGTGGCACTAGGTCCTGCAGCAAACAGGACCAAGTCAGCGGCTAAAGATGGATCACGGCGATGACCACCACAATGAGGAATGATACTCGGGAAATTATTTATGTAAAACCCCCTCCCCCCCCCCCTACCAACAACCCGATAAATACATGGACTTTGACGATCACTTTTTTCCGGGAAATAAATTTTAAGCAAACCACAATTAGGGAATGTTCATTAACTACGTAGACCTTTTTTTTTTTTGATTATTGCCCCCCCCCTCCCCCTGCGTAGACAATTCCTTAGAATTCCTTTGGAATTATTCTCACGTTTGCTTAGTAATCTTTAGCATTTTCATTTCACGTTGGAATGAATTACTATGAATTAAATTATATAAGCTCTTCTCGTTTGAATTTTTCTCAGAACTCCATAGATTTCACTTGAAGTTCTCCTCACAGCTTAAAAGGAATTCCAGTCAGACCTCTCTTAGAATAGGGTAGAGCGCTACTTCGTCGTAATCGCCCATTGCCGTTCTATCGAGCTGAAAAGATTAATAATATAAATGATTTCACTGTTGTAACCGTACGCGAAGAATGCACGAGGTATAAGTGAAACTCGGTGGCTTAAGCGCCACTCCCTTTACGAGAGACCACCGGTCGTGTTTTCTTTGCCAGACTTAGAGGCTGATCCTCAGAGGACCACCCGAACGGTATGATAAAAAAACCCTTCTTCAATGAAATTCAAAGCTTTAACGGAAAAATAATCTTTATCGAAAGTACACCTTTATCCGATCCATTTAACATCAGGGAAACCCGCAATCTCAAAGAAGTCCACAAATTATAGTCCCAATTTTCATTAGACCTAACGAACCAATCTAAACCGAATGTGTCTGATGCGAATCCAAGACGAGCCCAAGAACTCAATGGCGAGCTAGTCAGCTTAAAAAACCGTGACAGAGAAATAAGTAACTCAACGAAAAAACTTCAAATTTCAATCTATATTCACATCATTCCTTAACATTCATTCGGGTTGGACTAAACTCGGTTGAAAAAGCAAACTATGCATGGCCATGAAAAGAAAGTACGGACATACCTGCGCAGGTTTTTTCGATGCGATGCGATGCGATGATGGCGACGGATGAATCGGTGATGGCGACGGATGGAG